CAAGAGCTTTAGCTAAGAAATTAAAATAATTGTAAAACCAAGCTCTGTTTTACCCCAAACCACGACACACAGAAAAATATTCTGTCTTTGGCACCAAGTGGTGGCATGGATTAAGCTTCCTTGCAGGGCAGATAAGGGAGATAAATTACTTTTACTTGAAGCTATTTTCCTTCCCTTTTTTTTTTTTTTTTTTTTTGGTGCCCCTCATGCCTTGTAAGTTATTCTTTAACCTAGTGGTTATCATCAGTTCCCTGTTTGAGATCTCTGGGGCAATGGCGTGTTGTGATAGCATTGTGGCTATAGGCAATAGTAATTCAGACTGAATGATTATTTTGCTATTTTGAAATAAGACATTGATGTAAGCTTACATTTGAAATTCTTTCACATACTTCCTACTTTTAAATTATTTTTCGTATTATTCTTGTTTTTGTTACTGCCTACTATGTATTAGGTGTGTCTTTCAGGCATTTGTTTCCATAAATCTGAAAACAGCATACATCCTCACTGCATTTTAAATGTGACTGTTTCTATGAGTTCTGTCTCTGCTGGAGCTGGAATGTTGTTAATGGCAGGAGAAAAGTCGTCTGATATGAATGGCCTCACTGAGGGATGAGTGTATCATTTTGCCTAGTGATTCTTTAGAGCAGAACTGTATAAGAGAAGGTCATCATCTAGAAACAGTGATGGGTGTTCTTAAAATGCTGTCACTAAAATATTATTCACTTGTCAGTGGGTTCATACAGCTACATGCAGTGTGACATTTGAGTCTGTCACATTGCTCTCTGAGGAAGCTGTGTTAGTTAATGTGATGGTGTGGCAATTAAAATATATTACATTCCAAACAAATATTTCCTGTCTACTGCTCTGTTTTCAGTATTATCTATTTTTCTTCTTGTTTGTTGCCAACTCCTATTTTACATATAGGATTGTTTCTTAGCTCTCCTGGAGCAATTCCTGGCTGACTGAGACACAGGATGTTGTGCAACATGCAGAATGTAGAGACTTACTACAACACTTTATTTTTATTTTAAGTTAAATGTATCTTTTTGATGGTATGGGCCTATTTAACATAATTTGGGAAAGAAATCAATTTTCTGTTGCTAAAGCCAAAGTGTTGCATATATAATATGACATGGCTCTTGGCTTTGAGGAATGCTTGGTGGAAGTATGACTAAACTTGGAAAACTAATACTTTTATATGATGCAGTGCTTACTATGTTATCTAACTGATAGATGCTTTCTGTTAAGGAAAATGAGTTGACATTCAGTTTATAGTCATTTTATAATTATAGTCACTCAGGTGTGCTTGTGAGATATGTATTTAGTGTAGTTATTCAGCTTTCCATAGTGTTCAGAGAGGCTAAGCTCCTCAGTCCTTCATGTGGTTATTCTCCTGGTCTTCCAGTCAAGGTCAGGGCATTCACCAATTAAATCAAAAAAAAAGAAAATTTAAGGACTACATTCAAGCCAATTGATATCCACACTGCAACCACTTCTTCATTGAAAAGAGAAAGTGGGAAGCTGCCATGAAGAGCACAATCCTTGAGTTGCTCAGTCTCGATGTTGAATGTGTAGTTTTGATATTGAGCTTACACGTGTAGGTGAAGTGGTAAGACCCAAAGTATCAACAAAATCATTCTGGCAATGGAGTTGCATCTCAGCCTTCTAGCTCTTCAACACCTCTTCATTCCTCTTTTACTTTTTCTTGCAATTTTGTCTAGTAATGCTGTGGTGGCTTCTATTTTTGAGGGAAATCTGGTAGTCATACCAATTGTATAGACCAGAATATTAAGCTAAGCTATAGTATACCGAGCACGGAGTAAGGACCCAGTATACTAGATCCTTTTCCTCAGTCTGCTTCTGAATTTCTGAAGTTTTCATGTTCTCCAATATAGTCACTATATGTAAAGAAAGATAATGTTGTTTACTTGTTCATCTTGTTAAAGAACTTCCTGGTCTCATTCCTGTCATCACTATGGGATTTACAGCCTTGGTGAGAAAAAGCTTCTGAAAAGAGGGACTGATGAAACTGGTTTAGCTTAAAGATGGGTGCGTTTTTTTTGCAAGCAAATTTTATGCTTGCCTTAAGAAGATTGCAGATTGTTAGCCTCTTTAAGCAAGTTAAACAGCAAGAACACCAGGATGCCTCGGTGCACAAGTGGCCTGAGGCTGATGCCTGGTGTGAATGTCTTCCAGCTACTCATGTCTACTGTTAGGGAAAGCATGGAACAGCATAAACATCCAGGTGTATTTATAGTACATTGCAGTAAATGCAGTGAGTTCACAAGAATAACTTAAACTGATTTATGCAAACAAGTGAACTGTGCGTGTTAAAATTGAGCCAGATGAGGTCCAGGAACTAGTTACAAGAATGAGTGAAGGATGTATTGAAGATGGAAATCTTTGGTTCTGAGGAATTTAAAAGACAAGGAAAAAATTGTCTTAAGCGTGTGTGTGTCAGTAGTTCAATATTTGCTAAAATGATAAACTGAATTGTTCCAAAACGATTTCTGTAAATCAGTAAATAAATGAGAAAATTATTAACTTCATTGCTTACTGTCTTGCTGATGATTTTGATTTTTAAGTTTTCATAAGACACATACATTCTATTTTCTGTGGAAGTATGATTTGAAAATGGGTTGTGGTTAATGGACAATATCATGGATTTCTAGCTTTTGAAAGCAATATATAGAATTTTAGACGGTGTATTCTTTATTAATAAAAAAATCATCAAATGTGGCATTTGTCATTGTTTCCTCTGGTATAATAGCTTGTTTTCTGATTACGGGAATATATATTGTTTTATTTTCATCACAAGCTAACATGGATCTTAGTTTTGAGGTAAAATGACTTGTAGACTTTTTTTCAGGATCAGTAAGATGAGCACCTCTACTGTCTATTAATTAAAAGAGCAGCAGGATGTCCATTATGATAAATGACTAGTGTCAAATGTTTGAGTCATGGAATGGAAATCATTTACTTGATCTTCAGGCAAATAGTATTATTTTTTTTTCTGTCTTGAAGTGCAATGAGAGGCAGAATTCACCAGTGACTTCCCCGGGATCTTCACCTCTTTCACAAAGAAGAAAACCACTTCCAGACCCCCTGCAAATCCCACATCTTAGTCTTCCACCTGTACCTCCTCGTCTGGATCTTATTCAGAAGGGAGTAGCACGGTCACCATGTGCCAGCCCAACTGGATCACCAAAGGTAAGTCTTACTCAACCATTATGAGTTTATACACAAATATTGAGAAAAATTGTATTTGATAGTTTTCAAGGTGTGGGTTTGCTTGTTTGTTTTGGAAGATTGACTGTTCTGAAGTTTTCCATGTGTGTTTTCTTTTTCAGAAGTTTACTCTGCATGAAAGAACTTTAATTTTTCTTGTAGCTTAGAAAAACTTTAGGTGCACATTGAGTTACTTCCTTCATTTGACTTTGACAAGTGTTTGTCCCCTTGCATAAAACCTTACATAGTTAATGGTTACAGTTACATGTGTTGGTCAAATGTGACCCGTGTTTGTCTGATGATTACATTGTGCTTGGTTATGGTCAGAATTTTAAAGATGTTGCTGCAGTGGATCCATTGTGTAATAAATCCCTATTCATGAAAATAAATAGAAATGAAAGATTCCTGAAAACAGATTTAAAGATCATTATCTCATTAAAATTATATGTTGTGCTCTGATGATGATTTATGCTCAATTTCCGCAGTACACTTACAAGAAAAATATGTACAGATACACTGTTTCAAAACCTTAAATGTCATATATTATGACTCAAGTTGCAAGGGAAATAATAATGACTTTTTAGATAATAACCTTTATGCTGTCTTTTTTTAAACTAATGATACTAAAGTTTTAGTGGCTGGGTTTTTTTTTTTGAGTGGAGAAGCATGAAGGAGAACAAACATTGTGTTTATTGCTCTCTATTATATGGTGATCATTTTGTAATTGCTGTATAGAGAGGGGGAATTAAATTTATAATTTTCATTTTAAGATGATGAACTCAAATTCAAGTTCAAAACATGACTTGAAACCTGCGTACTCATACTAATCCAGTATGAAGTACCCTATTTATTTTGTCAGGTTTTTACTTCAAGCTTGAAAATCAAATTCTTTTTAAGATTCTAGTGGTTTATGATTTACAGGAAAAAAATAGGAGTTTGAATAGTTCATTTAATCTTCTTTCATCACTCATGTTATGTAAGGGAATTTATAATATGCTGAGGATATGTGTTACACGTATAGCACATCTATTAAAGAATTAATTTCACAATAGCATATAAAATTCATGTCTTCTAAAAGAATAGAAAATCATAAATACTATTATTATCACTTTAAATTTTTCCAGTGATGTTACTTTAAAAATGCTGTTTTTTCCTTTGAAACTTCTAAAAAAAAATTTGGCAGCACGAGAGAAAGAAGATGAGGGCAACAAAAAGTAATTTCACACTTTTAAAAAATTAGTCCTGCCAAAGCTACTACTTCAGTCAAAAAACTCTTCTCTTTCTCTGAAATAGAAAATAACAATAATTATAGCTATAAGCTAGAACAAAAAATTTGGACCCAGCCTTGGTTTCTGTCTTGACAGTGAGATTAACTATTTTTCTTACCCAGCAGCTTAATTAAACACTTCTTTATTTAATATACTGTCCTGTTTATATAAACAGATCTGCAGATAAAATTTACTTTATTTTCATTCTATGTAACATGTTGAGGTGCTGCTCAAAGAGTTACAGTGGGCTAACTTGTGAAGTGAGAGCAAATACTATTCTTACTGTAAAGCTTTTGTGACCACTATCTATTCAAGTGGTAATACTAAGCAGTACTACCAGAGTCTATGAGAATTACGCTTCCCAAGGGAAATAATCTTCCCTGTGTGTCTTATGGTAGCTAGTGGTGAGATGAAAACATTTTGTAAAGACATGACCTGATTATTATTTTGTGAAATGCTGTTAGTAATTCACTCCTAATGAAAGTGTATTGGGTTTATCAGATGTGTACTCTTACACAGCTACCTGTAGAAGGTTGGTTGGGTTTTTTGGGTAACTTGATTGTCAGTTTTTTAGTATTAATAATTTTAGAAAACATTATCACATGACCACATTAGGAAATGTTAGGAGACATTTCGCCATTTATTATGTCGTTCAGTTCCGAGAAAGGAAGTCCTCTGGCAAAGGTTGTTTGCAGATGTGCTAATTGCAAACATAACTACATACTAAGCCTGTTACCTGGAAAGAAAGAACAGCAGTTCAAACTAATGAGGCACTCTTGAGAAGGGATGTTGCATGAAGAGTGGAGTCATGCCTAGGTATAAGATTAAAACCAAAGTAGTTGTTTTCTTCTTCCACTCACTCCCTAATCATTGGATTTTTGTGTTCATTCACTGTCACTAAGTCCTTTGGATTTGGGTTTTGTTTGCGTTTTTCAAACATTCCTCTCGATTAATTTCAGCAGCTCAATAAATGATTCAAAACATTACAGCAAAGAATTCCGGAAAGTAAATTATGGGTGAGATATATCTGCCACCATCAGCTGACTTTTCTCCCTTTCACTCCTTGCTTGGGTTACTGATGCAACAGCAGAATCTGAGGGCATGCTTTCTGAAGAGAGGCCAGGTAGTCTGCAGAATGCAAAGACAAGACAAATATTTAGCCTACTGGCAAGTACTCTTGTGATGCCTTGAAAATACCTAGATTAGAAATGGCAAAAGCCATACTTGATCTTGAAAGAAATATGCATGCCTATGTGTAACTTTTGTAACCTACTGTGTCGTTTAGTCTTCTCCTTGTATGGTGAGGAAACAAGACAAACCTCTGCCAGCACCACCACCTCCCTTGCGTGATCCTCCGCCACCCCCTCCGGAGAGACCCCCTCCAATTCCACCGGACAACAGGATAAGCAGACACCTGCATCACCCGGAGAGCGTGCCTTCCAGAGACCAGCCCGTGCCCCTCGAGGGCTGGTGTCCCAGGGACGTCTTTGGGACAAGTCAGTTGGTAGGATGTCGAATAGGGAGTGATGCTTCTCCCAAAGCAGGACTGACTGCAATTTCAAACATGAATGGAAGGCACAACCGTGTAAGTTCTGATCCAGGATTTTTGAGGAAACACAGACGCCACGAGCTGCCTGCAGAAGGTGCCAAGGTATGAAATGGGCTGAATGTGTTGCATCTTAATTCGATACCCTGCTGCACCGTTGTCTTGCATTGGCTAACATACTGTTCATATGGGCCAGTGTTGATCTGCCTGTTTCTTCCTGTTTCATACTTAATAATAAAGTGGTTGTAAATAAATGGTTTGTTAAATACTGTAATTTGTAAAGCAACAGTACATGAGAATACATGTAAACATGTTACAATTTTAACATGAAAGCTTCAAAAGTTAGCATGGAGAAAAAAAATCTAGATTTGCTGTATTCTTTTAGCAAATCATCCATACAGCTGTTGAATGATAATGTTAGATCGCTCTGTGCTACAGTATAGTTACATAGAATCACATCCACTTTGGAAGTGTCTTATGCCAAAATTCTGTCTGCATTTGCTGATAGAATAGTAGATGTTCCAGTTACATTTATCATGGGTGAGATGAAGACTTAGTAACCTCTTTAATCCGTAATGTAGGCAATACGTATGGGCGATGTATACAGATATACTAAAATTGCCAGATTTATTGTGTACGTCAACATAAAAAGCTAAATATTCTAAAGGTCAGGTGTGTTATTCATCAGTAAAATATTATTTTCAAAAAAGCATTAAATTAGTCATGATGTTCAGTATACTCCAATGGAATAGATCTAAGCAGCCTTAATACACAGAAAGGGGAAACAAATCCATCCAAAGCCAAGCTAAACATGAGTAATTAATTCTATGTTTACCATTGGCTAAATGGGCAGCATCCTTGAAAGTCTCAGTGACACAACCCCAGTACTGCACTGTTTGATTTGGTATTATCATCAGTGCTCTAAACCTTATTCAGGATAATTGGCATCACAGCTGCCTTTTTCTTTGTCAATTGTTTACACATCTTTAGCTGAATTTTTCACCCTTTGGACTTAAGTCAGAATTCCAGCTGCTAGAATACATTGTAGTTTGTCCATTGTAGCTTTTGACTTCTCTTGAACAATTGTCCAGTGTCATGTCCCATAATCCATTTTCAAGGCTGAAGGCATTCAGATTTCTGACTTGCAACTTTTCCACTGATTATCTAGCTTGGTTTGGCTTGGGGACATCTGCTTCTCACCCACAGGAGAAGTATGTTTTCCTGTCCTTGGTTGCTGTGTTGGATTGTATCTATATAGTAATCGAAGATACTTGGGGAGGAGAGCATAGAGGGGTTAGTTCTGGCATTAGGTAGCTTCAGCCAGCTTGCAAGACAGTACAGTTGGGAGGCTTAGATTTGAAAAGAGATCAGGTGGTAGTGGCCTAAGAACTTAAGACTCCTAGTTCTGCTCTAATTGATTTTATCAACACAGCTCAGTAACTTATTCACAGAGCAGGTTATTAACTCAGAACTGCTCTTTTTTTTACTTTAAGACTTCATAGCTTTGTGCTATTAAGGATGGATTTGTGGTTAAGTCACGGTAGTTAGAAATCATAACTTTTTCTGTTTCCTTTTTGCCAAGGTCACAAGCCATATAACCATTCTATCTCCATTTTTTATTTTATTTTATATTGATGGTTTGGTTATTTTGAAAGTATGTTGCAGAAATTCAAGTGGTATTGGTAAAGAACATTGACGTCAATGATGGAAGATGCTTAGGAAATCTATGATGTTACATATAATCAGAATGTGCTTTTATCACCACTGAGGGAAAACACCAAAATTTTGCTTGTGGTGCTTTTTGTTTATGCTACTGGTAAAAGCCAAGTATCAGGAAGACAGTCCTGTGGGTGGAGTATGAATTCTGGCAGTTACTGTGTCACAGTTTTAAAAAACATTGTTTATCATGCTCTACCTGTTGTTTTCCCACTGTACTTCATCTCTCTCACTTGATCAGTTCAGAATCTTGAAATGTTTATTTTCCCCCAAGCAGTTAGTCCATCTAGTAAACATGACATGAAAAGTCCACTTGTGGTGAAATTTTAAGCTAACGTGTTCTACAGCTCGCAAGAATTGGGGTGAGCTGAAACAGGTATGAAAATCACCTTGTATAACAGCTATGCAGTACGATCTCATAGGAAAGCTTTTACCTGTAGTCTTCTTGTGGTCTATTTTGTAATACCTAGTTGATGAACATCCATGATAATAAACAGGAGGACATACCCATTGTAAGTCTTGTGTGATTTTATTTTTAGGTCTTTTCAAATGGTCATCTGATAAATGAAGAATACGATGTCCCTCCACGGCTTTCACCCCCTCTTCCAGCTGCCTCTGTCATCCCTAGTATAAAGTAAGTTGACTTTATCTATGAAAGAAACGTGTTAATTAATGTTAGGAAATAGCACTGATTCTCTGGTGCTAAAATAAAAATGGGGAAAAGAAATAAAGAAAATGAACTAACATAACTGAGTGATACATTTTCCATTAGCTTAATGTAGTTTTGTGAAGGAGACATAAATTGTATTTATTAAGTGGGATTAGTTGTAATGTTAATTGAACATACTACATTTTTATAGGAAGAGAAAATAAATTGTGGCAGATCCTGCTCACAGGCATTTGACAGTGGGAGCAGAGACTGTCTACTTTCCTAGTATCTTTAGAATCTCAATCACACAGGATTTAATCCAGGAAAAAAAACTCATATATTTAAATTAGAAAGCTTGGAAGTGTTTTTTTGTTTTGTTTTGTAAGAAAATCAGAGCAGATCACAATGTTTGTTATCCTAAAACTTCCTCCCTATGCACTCCTTGTGATTCTTGCTGTTAAAATAATTGGCCATCTAGTACATATTAATTGTGAGGATTTTCTCATTTATGTGTAATTTTGCCATATCTTCAGCACCCATTCCATTGTTGTTCAATTAGCAGTATCATAAAAGACAAATACATTGCAGCATTTCATCAATATGCTGGTTTTTCTCTTCCCGAGTGCTAGAATGAAGGTGTAGGCACACTAACTTCTTTCATTGAGAAGCATGTTTTCAGAGGGAACAAATGCTGATTTGAAGTTCTCCATGTTTACTTTCAGTTCAGTAATGATCTTTAGAACATTATCCAGACGTTTCTGTAATTGAATGTTGTGATCTAACCTGATTGAGGTAGGGTATCACAGGAGTACTGGTTGGATACCTCACGTAGTCAATCCCCTTATAAACAGATCTCCTTGGTTTGGCTACTCCTTCCATAATACAAATCCGGGGCTGTTGCATGCTCTGTCAGAGAAAGCAACAACTCGCAGACAAACTAAATACTTGGATATTCCAAATATTTCATATTTGTATTAAATTGAATTCTGAAGAATGGTAGAATCTTATTTTCATTTTTCATAGAGATGAAAAAGCAAACCATTCTGCTTCATGAAAATCCCATGTTTTACTCAGACTCTTGCAAATGTAGCCTAGAATCAAAGTACAATGTATACATACACTAGTGTTCATTGGGAAGTCCACAGGATATTGTAGCAATGTGGTCAGGTTCAAAATCCATGTCAAGCCAATTCAAAACTAGAATGTGTGGCTTTAGCTTGATCAAAAGGAGTATCTTCATTAAGTGAAGTCTTCTGAATAGAAAACTTATGTATTCCAGCCAAAAGATCTTCATTTCCTAAACCCAAACTCCATAGACTTTTGAGGAAGAAAATAACTTTTCATTTCTCATTTGGTTTTGTACTTGCACCTTTTAAAAAATACACAATTTGGTTTTAATTTTGATTTTTAAAATGTAAAAACTATCTATACCTAGGGCTAAGAAGTTCATGTTATCTAATTAACAGCTAAACATGAACTATTATTCTGTGATTCTTTAAAATGGCACATAAAATGGCAGTTAAAATTAAAAATTCATCATTGAATGTTGTTTTTTGAAACTCTTAATATGTCTATTTTAAATTTATTTCAAATTAAGGTTTTGTTACCACTAGAAAATACACTGATAATCTATAATACTGTACATAGGTGGAAAAACTGGGGAGGAGGGAGAAAAAAATCTTCGAAAATGCCCTATTTAGTAAGTCTAAGATTTCTACTAACCATAACAGTTGCTTTCAAAAATGTAACCTAAAAATGTTTATAATGATTTAATTTGAAATGTGGGAGAGAATATTCTTATGGTGTATTTTTCCTTGTTAGATTGACTACAGTAAACCCTCATAAATATGCTTAACTGTTCCTGATCCAAAATACCTTTGCTTTCCACAGCTCTGCTACTGAAGTCAATCTGGTGGAGGTTTCTCATTTTTCCCTGCTCTCTGCAGTGTTGTGGCTTGAGAGATAATTTGTTTCATACAGCTCCAAGGCATTTTATTCTTTGTAGTTATTATCATAGATCTTCAATTTCAAAGGTTTGACTGAAGGATACGCTGATCATATATGTACTGTCTTAGTCTAAATAATGAGAAGGCAAAACAACCCTTAGTTGAATCTTCACAATTCTAAAATATCCTACTTAACTTGTTTGATCAGTTTTTACTGAACATGACACTACAAACACAACTCCTTCATCTTTACTAAGTTACATTAAAAGAAAAGCACCAGTGTCTTTTTTTTTCTGGAAACAGTGATGATTTATTTTCATTTTACTTGATTGATTATTATTAACCAAACTTCAATAATGAAATTTAGACTCTGGATAACCAAGCATCTGATCTTCATTTTCCAGTGAGCCACTATATTGCTGACTTTACATGTCAGAACAGTTATTCTTCTACTGGACCACTCTAATCATGTCAGATTATTTCTAGCAGTTTTGATCAAATTACTATTTTATTCTTGAAAAAATAAATGAAACTTCTGTGTTAAAGATAGAGAAGTATTCTTCCCCCAAACTTCAAAATTTTCTAGTTAAATGCTGTTTGTTTTATTCCTGTGAGTAGGTCCCATTTTGCTACATCAATAGAAAATTGGCCTCTTTGTCTCAAAACTGCTTTATACCACAGGGATATTTTCTGTAAGAGAGTGTCTATTTCTCAGTGTAATGAGACATTGAAGTCCAAGTACCTTTTGTAGCCTATGAATATATTAGAAATGTCTAGTTAAGAGGTAGTTCAGGGAAAAGTAGCACTGAAAGAATTTTTTTTTCACATGATATCCCTTCTATCTCACTAACAAACTCTGAATGTAAAATCATAGTTCTGTTAAAGGCAACTGGGGCTTGGAAATCATGGCTCCCTTGAAATCAGCTTTTAGTGTGATGCTTCTCCAACAGCATTAGAAGGACCACTGCTGACATACAGGTTCCAGATATCTGAGAGATGATGCTCTGGAGGACACAACATGTTGTTAGCTAATAGCTTGGCAAGTCAGTGGGTTTTAGATGCATCAGCTATTCTGTGACAATGATCATTGCATTGCAGGCTTTACCCTGTGACATACAGAAAACGTTGTCTTCCTCTATGGATGAAGATGAACTGCTCTAAAAGTGAAGCACACTTCCTAAGGGAAGCACACTTGAGGACAGTTGCTATGAGCAACTGATGAGTTTTGGCTTGATTGTGTGGTCCATATAACTTAACAGTTACTTTGCTGAGAAAGAGTTCGCTTGAGGCCTTGCAAGATTAAAGCTTTTTTCTACATTAGGAAGTAGTACTCTGCATAGGACAGAAGAATTGACAGTAAGGAGCTAAAGTCTGTACTGTACAGGTTATGAAGCAACAGTTCAATTTGCTATACTCTTGTCCCATGAATCTGAACAGTCTTTAGCTGTCAGAACACAGTAGGGGCACACCTGAAATACATTCTGGATTTTGATTTAGTCTGAAAGGTATTCCAAGTTGTGCACTCCTCCATGCACATCAAAGCACGGTAAGCAGGGATATTAAAGGGATTGATTTCAAAACACATGCACTGCAAGTTCATTGCATCCAAGTTCTGTGAGTCAGTTTACCAGGGAGCTTTTCCCTGAAATACATTTTATGAGATGTTGGTATTCCTGGAGATCTGTTTACAGCTAAGCTGGGCATTAAGTGCCTCAACAAAAATGAATTCTCACATCTTTTCCTGTTTTGCCTTCAGCCCTTGGTGATCGTTAGGATAAGTGAGATTGACATCTAGCCTTCTGTTCAACAAGAGCGACTATACAAAGTCATCACTTACTGGAACATAATTTTGACTTTAAATTTAAAAAATATTTCCACTTTAGGAGTAGGAGGGGGAAGTAAAGAATATATAAATACAGTGTACTGGTCAGTTTTATATTCCTCTGTACACAAATGTTGTAAAGATGTAAAAGTAAAGAAGTTTTTGACAGTTTAATTATAGAAAATTTCACCAGCTTGATAAACAGATGCCCAGGTGTTTCATGTCTCACTTAAAATTACAATATTCAGCTGTTTAGTTACAAAAAAACCCTATAAAATATTTGTCTGTTTATCCTACTGGGTAGTTTTGTGTAGAACAATAGAGTTAGTCTTAGAATAACAGTAACAGTGATTTAAAAAAATTTAATCTTGGAGAAATTTCAGTAATGCAGAAACAGGGGAGAGACATCTAGCAGAACGGTGCAAAAGAGATTTTGAGTCAAGTATCATTGCAAGTGGAGTAAATTAGAAGAGCAATATGAATTTTAAAAAAATATTATTTCTGAAATTTTAATAAAATATGATGTAAGTTTAGGACAATTTTAGTACACTAATGGAGAGTATATTATTAGTATGTTAGTACTTTAGCTCTTCTACTGCTTTACAAATCAAAAGCACCTTTCAAGTATTAATCACATTATTTTTACAACCTGGCAAGTATTTTCCTCGTTTTAAAGCTAAGGAGAGACTTTTCAGGTGTGAGAGATGTGTCTAAGGCTACACAATATTCAGAAGCAAGAGACTTGGAACTTACCTCTTCGATAATATCTCCAAACCAGTCACAATTTCTCAGCAGAGAAGGAGGAGTTGGTTTATTTTTTGTTTCCCCAATAACAACCTTTGAAGATCGCTTCAAACAATACCACTAACCCAATTTGGTCAGTATTGGACATTAGGTGTTGCTCAATATTAGACTTTTGTGGTTTAGAGATTAAAATTTCAAATATTGCTATCTACTGAAACTAGCAATTAAATTTGTGATTATTTTCAAAAACCACAGGCTTATATAAAATTGTGTATATATATGTGTGTATATGTATGAATACATATTATATGTGTGTATATACACATATATTTGTGTATGTGTATATACACACACACACATATATATATAAACATTTCCAGAGCATACTGGATTGCCATGTAAGAGTGCTTGCACATCCACAGAAGTTAGGCGTTTTTTTCTTTGTGGGCCTTTCAACTGTCTAGCTGAGAATACTACAGAGTTCTCATTGTCCCTGTACATTGTTACTTTCTGTTCTTTAAATGTCTGTGTGGCAGTGACAGAAACCTCTTGACCATCTAAGAAATGAAGGATGGAAAAAATCAATTTCACACTGCATTGCTATGTGAAATTTTGTTCCATCTGTAGAAGGTGGTTGAAAACTGCAGTATAAAATTTGCAGTTCAGTACTATAAATCTTCTTTCCCCCATCTTTTGCCAGTATGTTTTTGCAACAGAAGCTGGATTCCCACCTTTCATAAGCATGTTTCTGAAGTCAAAAGTATGTTACTGCCTGAAGGAAAGTGTCTGAGAAGTTACAGGTAGCTAGGGAACTCTAGGCTTTGAATACATTGAAACAAAAGCAGCACATCTGCCCCTTTCTTTCTCTGTTCTTTTTCTTTCTCCCTTTTTTTATTTATTTGTTCGTTTAGTGACTGGCTAGTACTCCTCTCCTGGTGGTTAGTTAGTCGGTTTCATTCTCAGAAGTCACATGTCATCGTCTACAGTAAATAGTGAAAGGCAAAGGTGTTTCCTTTTTGAAGAAGGGTGCTGTGTGAATCAGGTGCTGCTTGGTACCTCTAAATGGAGACTGTGAAGTCTGCCTCTTCCTTGTGATTTCACTTCTTTCAAGACATGCTACAACTTACTGTCTGGGTGGACAATTATTGTTTGAAGTAAAAATAATTTAAAATACAGGCAAATTATGGGGGTCTAGTAATGTCATGGCTGGAACAAGACTTCACTCAAAAGGTGAACATCCAGTGCCTTACCGAGCACTGCTAAATACTATCTGCCCTGATTTAACTTCTATTTAGTTCTTTTGGCAAATGCAGACAGGTTAAGCCTTGTAAGTGCCCATTTAGTAGTATCATTCTTTGCAATTTTCTGCTTTGCTGTGCTTGATTAAAGTAGCAGTTTAACTCTTAGAAGGTCAGCTGCCCTTTTCTCTATATATTTTTGGTGACAAAAAAGCCAGTAACTTTACGACTTTGTTTGACGTGGTATTTTTGCTACCTTATATAGCAGACGTATTAATAATGTTTAGGCTAAGGTTGTTTTTCTCATTTCTTTAGGTGCCCTGTTCCTTCAGCAAATTCTCTGTCTGACAAATCAAGGGATCACACAGATGATGATGATGAATACAAAGTTCCATCTTCACATCCTGTAATACTGAGCTCACAACCACCTCATGGTCATAACACAAAACCTCGGTAAGGTCATTTAGCAGCCTTGAAGGCAAACTTATTTACAAAAACTCTTTTTTTCCCCAAATTTAATTGGATTAAACATTTGCAAATGGTGGTTAAGCTTGCCTGCCTTCTAAAATGCCTTATATTTTCAAGCTTGGATTACTTGCACTTCTGTTTCATTTTACCACCACCACAGTCATAAACCTGTGAAGTTCACTTTATTGTATTTCTGTTGTGTCAGAACTGGGTATTTTTCTCTTTTGAATAACATTTCTGCAGTTGATTCTTTTTTCCTATAGGCTGAGGTTTTCAGAACTGATGAGGAGATTCAACCCCCACAAGTCCTGCAAAATTTAATTTTAAGGAGAAGTATGTGACTGAAACTCCCAAGTCAGCTTTGAAAATCTTAACTTTCACATTTTATATAATTTATTTTAAGAAGCAACACAGTACTGAAAAACATGTGCATTGGCACTGTACGTGCCTTTATTCTCTTTTTGTCCCATGTGTACTACGTCTTTTTTGGGTTTTGAGCCTATTTCACAGCATATTTTCTTCATACTTTTCAGGAAGAGAACCTTTTTTTAAATACAGATTAAATATATCTCTTCTGCTTTAAACTTGTTCTGGAATAATATCTCCAAACTTTCACAGTTCTGAATTATTAATGGATTATGGCAAGGAGATCTGGAGCCAAGGGACATGGCAACTTAAGGCTTGCTGAACTTCTTGAACTTCAACTTATAAAAAATCTAAATGTCTGGAACTAAGAGAATAAGTCTTGAGAAAAAGAAGGGCCAATTCTCTACTGGTCTTGCAGGAGAAAAATATTATTTTAATATGAAGTATTGATCTAAAAAGTTCACTCTTCTGCTATTAAAAAATTGCAGTGACATATTGCCATTTTTTTCTCCTGACAGAATGTGATGTCATGGACTAACCATCAATAGAGCTTGACATGTCTCTCATTCCAGAATTAGCTAATTACAATTTTTAGACTTCTCTAATCAGAATTTAGAATAGGTGGAATAAAGGTCGTAGTCTGGTCACTCCTTGCAAGCAGGTTAAAAATTCTGTCTGTATTGGAAATTCTGATCCAACCTTTGCTGTTTAGAAGTTGTCTGTACACAGTTGTAGGAGCTTTATGATCTTGAGTGCCTGAATTCCTATCTACTGTATGAGACTTAACAAAAAAAAAAACCAAAGGAGAAAAAAAATATTAATAAAACTCTGAATGCTGGCCAACAAAAAAGGGTAAAAAAAAAAAAGGCAGCCACCCTGATCCTTTTTACCTATGCCATTTTTAAGCTGTATTCTGCTTCTGCATAGGAATGTCTTTCTGTAGCATGCAGAGTTGTCTGACAGAGAGTGAGTTGCCTGCATGACTAGAGTTACACAGGATGGAACCTTTTGTAGACAAGAAGTCATCTGCAACACATGAGTACAGTATGTGGGCAGATTACCTTGATGTAGCAGATTCTGATGGCTCTGGCTAGGTTAGTAAGTAGTGTGCTGCAACAGGAATGAGTGTGTAGAGGGAACTGATTGACTCCAAGGGCCCCACCTCCACAGTTTGTTTTGGGAAGTTTTGAATTCATATGAGCCCTAACATGGTCCTGTGGCTGGACTATGCTTTAGTAATTGCAGCACATTGGATGAGCTCCTGATGGAGAGTTTTTGATTTAACATCATCCAGAAGCAATTGAGTGTGCATGCTCTGAGACCTCTCTGCAATGTAAACCAAAGTGCTCTTAGTAGGGATGATTTAAAATAATAGAATCATTGAATCATTTTGATTGGAAGAGACATTTAAGATCATAACGTCCAACCGTTAACCCAGCACTTCCAGCTCAGCACTAAACTGTGTCCCTAAGTACTACATCTACATGTCTTCTAAATACCTCCAGGGATGATAGCTGCACCACTTCCCTGAGTAGCCTGTTCCACTGCTTTGCAACTCTGTCAGTAACAGAAATTTTTCCAAATGTCCAACCTAAACCTGTCCTGCTGCAGCTCGAGGCAGTTTCCTCTTGTCCCATCGTTCATTACTTGGGATAACAGACCAACCCCCACCTCACGACAGCCTCCTTTCAGGTAGCTGTAGGAAGTGATAAGGCCTCCCCTCAGCCTCTTTTCCCCAGGCCAAACAATCCCAGTTCCCTCAGCTGCTCCTTGTAAGAATTATCCTTTAGACCCTGCACCAGCTTTCTGGCTCTTCTTTGAATGTACTCCAGCATCTTAATGTCCTTTTTGTAGGGAGGGGCCCAAAACTGAATGTTGTATTCGAGTTGTGGCCTCACCAGTGCCAAGTACAGGGGCATGATCACTTCTCTAGTCCTGCTGGCCACACTGTTTCTGATATAAGCCAGGATGCTGTTGGTCTTCTTGGCTACCTGGGCACACTGCTGGATCATACTCAGGCAGCTATCATTCAAGACCTCCAGATCTTTTTGTGCTGGGCAGCTTTCCAGTCACTCTTCCCCAGGGAAGAATCATTGCATGGGGTTGTTGTGACCCAGGTGGAGGACCCACCACTTGGCCTCATTTAGTCTCATGCAAATGACCTTAGCCTATCAATCCAACCTGTCCAGATTGTTCTGTAGAGCCTTCCTGCCCTCAGGCAGATCAACACATCTGCCTAACTTGGTGTAGTCAGCAAACTTAATGAGGGAGCCCTCAATGCCTTTATCCAGATCATTGATAAGGGTATTAAAGAGAACTGGCCCCAGTACTGAGCTCTGGGGAACACCACTTATGACCAGCTGCCTACTGGATTTAAGTCCACTCAGCATCAGTCCTTGGGCCCAGCCATGTTTTTGTCCAGCAAAGCATACAGCCATCCAAGCCATGAGCAGCCAGTTTCTCCAGGAGGATGCTGTGGGAAACAGTGTCAAAAGCTTTACTAAAGTCCAGGTAGACAACATCCACGGCCTTTGCCTCACCCACTGAGCAGGTCACCTTGTCATAGAAGATTTGCAGACGTCTGTTTCAATTCATACACCTGACCTGATCTAAAATGCTAGTATCTAGGTGCACCCTGAAAGAGTCTTGAGAAAACTGATTGGAAAACTAGAAACTTTTCATTTTCTAGTATTCTTTTGAAGAAAAAGATAGTTAAGTGCTTTCAACTGTCTGGTACAGGATTTCACCAGGCCTGTGTAATTATGAATAGAGGCTGTAGACGGAAGGATGATTTCAAAGGTTTTTCTCTAGTGTTTAGCTTATATTTTAGGTAGTCTACTTGTCTTGCTCTTATGGTGGAGTTTTTTTGCATTAATGTAGGACTTGCTACAGAGAAAATACCTCAGCTTGCTGTTCAGATTGCTTTATGCTTAAAGCCACCAACTTTTCTTACCAGATATTCTGATGAGAATTTTAACTTGGAAAAAAACATTTTTCTAAAAAAAACCCAACAACAACAAATATCCTGTTGACTATTTGTGTATGAATGTATATAATGTTCCATATACTTAAAATGTCTCCTTTTAGCTAAAAAGAGGCTAAGTCACTGCTTAGATGTGAAAGCTGAGTTACAAAGCTTTTAAAAAGAATCTTGATTTAGGTTGATGTTGTATCTTCTAATGCACTTCTTTTAATGTCTTCTCAATAAAAGCTTAACTTCTCAGTTAAAACTGTTAACAACAATTTTTTTTTTTTTTTTTAATTGCCATAAATTTTTAGCACCTTTTATCTGTATCCCCTGGTGTCACCTTCTGTTGTTCAAGTGTTGCTTCTTCAGTTCATAGATAGTACTCGGAGTTTTTAGTAAACCAAAAAACATCCAAATTTGTTCTGGATGTTTTATAATTTAGAAAATATGTAATTCTTCCATCCTACCCCCAAACTTTTATTGCATCTAAGACTTTTTGCTCTTTTACCAGTAGATATTACAATGCTAAAAACTTTACAAGAATAATAAAAAAAAATATTCACAATCCTGTTTTCTGAAAGATCAGTTAATTGCCTGGTTTATTACTGCTGATCATATCTTCCCAGGTATGGGGCAAGTTTAGCAATAAGAAATGGAGGGAAAGAATTTCAGCATTACTAATTAGGCTACTATTAGAAGAATGATACATTATTACATTCACTAGTTTTTCTTAATAAAGCTTTTTTCAAAAGGGAAAGGACAGCAGGCTTGCTTGTTAGTACTCATTTGCTGCCCTTATTTATGATGTTTAATGTTGATGTAAACATATATTTCAGCATGATTTGTAAATGGATCGCTTAACTGGGCTTATTATGACCTGAATACTTCTGAAGTGGTGCCATGTTAAGTTATCTTTCTGCCTGTGTCTGGTTAGGTTATTGAAAATGCAAAGCAGATTCAAATTAAAGTAGAAAATATTCTTAGTTATCTAGTGTATATGCTGAGGAGTGAAAGGAAGTGTTGTGTCCACTGTGTTTGAGAGATTGAACCAATCTAATTTCAAAGATAGAAGCAACACTTCCTCTAGTACTTCCCTGGGGAAATTAATTCCTAACAAAATAGCTCTTACCATTAGTTCTTGTTTTGGTTTTGTTTTTAAGTCTTGTAATTATTCTTACATTTATTTCATTATTCCTAGTTATAACTCTTGGGACCACAAACACAATTTCACTTCCTCTTTCCTGTTTATATATTATAAATGATTCCAGACCTTTATTCTTTCCTTCTTGCCATATGGCCAAAGCTGATAGGTTTATTATTGTTCATACTATTGGTAAAAGCCCAAGATCTGAACTTTTAGCTGTATATAAGTCTAGCAGAGTTGCCAGTATTCAGTAATAATGGTGTATGGTGGGTTGGGATTTTTATTTTTAAGCTGGAATTGTTTAGCATGGTGGCCTTTTTCCAAAGAAATTCTCTTGTTCCTTCTGACTATGCAGGGTCCACCACTCCAATGACAGGAGTAATTTCCCAGTTCTATCACATTTATTTAAAAAATATTTAATATTATGAAAAGACTTTTATTCTGTTTTTCCCTGCTGTATTTCCAACAGAGTAATCTTACAAAAATAATCACCAGTATCTTTCTGACAAAATTATAGGCAGCTTCCTACTGTTTATTTTAGATTATTTTCATATTTAATTTGATAGTGTTGTTTAATTTTGAGGGTGTAATATGCTTCTGTTCTAATAAAATCAGTAAAATGTGGGAGAAGTATTGGCAAGACTGAGGTTTTTGGTACAGAAATTAACAGACGCCTATAAAACTGCTTTGGCAATTTTTTTTTTTTTTTTTTTAATAATGTCTGGCTAAGATTTTTATTTAAATCTGTTACTGCTAGTGGTGTGTTGTAGTGTTTTGTTTGAATTTTTGTTGTTGTTTTATTTTATGTAATGACTTTTTCTGTGTACTTCAGTGTGGATAATTACCAAAATCCACATTTCCTTTTTTTCATAATTCTGATAGGGAAAATTCAGCAGTGGGGAAGGAAGAATAGAATTGAGTCTGTGACCTAACTATGTGAATAAACTAACGAGCTGAGCTCTGAAGTGAGGACTGTATTTGATCTTAGTTTTTCCTCTGTCTTGTATTACAGCCTTGAGTAAGTTATTTAAGCCATGCCAGTATCCCACCAAGAAATCCTTCAAAGCAGTTTTATTGGTGGTTAATCAGTTATTTATATCAATATAAAACCTGTAAACTTTAAAAATTATGTGGCTTATCATCTTCCATTAATTTCCATGTTATGGACTGCAGCTCAGGTACTTGGTCATTCTAGGAATTAACACTTGAATAACTGGTCGATTGCTTCCTGTTTAATGTCTGTCTTCAGGGTATGTGAGAATGGTCAATGTGCTGGAGTAATGAATGGAACACACAGTACTACTGCTGAGATGAAGAAATCAAAACATCCAGAGTTAGGTATGTTTTTATTTTTTCCTATGTATCAAGGAAATATGCTGTTCTAGGGGTACAGCAAGAAAACATTCACTTCTTGTGGTTGTGTCATTCAGGAGATGTCTGTGATGCACCTACTGCTCCGGTACCTTTGCCACCTGCACGACCTCCTACCAGAGACAAACCAAAACACAGCTCTTTGCTCAACAGGACACCCTCCGATTATGATCTTCTGGTGCCCCCTTTAGGTTGCAGACTTTTTGCTGATTACATTTAATGATTAACATTGCCTAGATGAACCAAATGCCGTGTTTATTGAAAAGAAACCAGTGTTGAGTATGTTGAGTACCAAACAAGCTATGGGCTAAATATTACACCTGTAAGTGAATATTTGTGTCAATGGTCTGTACTTGGTCTGTAAGTCCCTGTGCAAGACAGATGAAAAGGCATACTAAATCTGTATTCAAGCTCTAAAGAAAGCAAAACCATTTTCCCTAAAATGAATTATGATTTTTCCTCCCTTAATATGAAGTTTGAGTATTGCAATTTAATGCAAGAGAGGAGGGGTTTTCCTATTATAGCTTAAATAATTCAATTTCTTTTATCAAAGAGGTGATATTTAAGTCAAAGAAAGCTAAATTAAATTTAAAACTTTGTGTGTCTGTTCCCACTGCCCCTCAGCCCCCCCTGGAATTCTTTAAAAAATTCACTGCTGCCTTCACTCACCAAAAGCTATCTTTTCCAAACCTGATTTCTGTTCATTTCTCCTACACAAAATTCAGTGAGCTCTGCATGTGTAATGGGGATGTGCTTGACACCTTCACTGACAAACTCAACTGTATGACTGTATATGTGTCATCATCCAATTTTCTGGTCCATAAAACCTTTTGAATATTTGCCGTGTTCCTGCACTATGCTCTCTCTGGTCCCTCTCTGTACTCTGCAACAGTACATGGAATTGCAGACAGAAAAATACATTAAAATCATACTGCTTGGTAACACTAGTCCTGTCTGCACCACCTTTGTGTAAGGGGTGCATCCTTTTGACAAGCTCTAGAAAATTCAGTTTATGTCTGGGGTCAGAGCTTTAGAACAGAAGATAAAGATAATACACAGTGTAAATGCAGTAGATTCAATGTGGTCAGCATTGGTGTTTGAATAAGAATATATTTGCTTAGCCACTGAAATTTAGCTGTTATTCTACAGTGATATTCAGTGAAGCTTTCGTTACAATACACTCTTTGCAATTGAGCCACTAAAAGAAATCTCACCTCCCATCCCAGAAAAGAAACTGAGCATTGCAAAAGGTCATTCAGAGCATGTTTCAGAAGGGAGTTGTACATAGTAAGAGTCAGGTTTGCATTTTCATTACTGGAGTCACTGAACTCCTAGGTGAACCCTAGGAGTAAAGGCCTCAGCAGCTAGAGAGAAGCCAATTTTAAGCATCACTCATTATTCTACAGTTCTTAATTAAATTTTGCTTATCTAATAATTCTTTCCTAAAATGCAGGCGAAGAGATGTTTGATAACTCAGCCCCTTCGCTACCCCCACCTCCACCACCTGCTCGGCACAGCATGATAGAGCACACAAAACCTTCTGGCTCAGGAAGCCGACCTTCTTCAGGACATGAACTGTTCCTTCATTCTGGTAGGAATACAAAGGAAATAGCATTCTTTATTTCATTTTCCTTTACTTCAGAAACTTATTTGTTCTGTGGTAAAGCTGTTATCAGGCTTCAGAATTCAGTTTTGTCTATACCAAATACTAAAAGTGGGGTTTTTTTTAAACAGTGGAGATAAAACAACTCAGAATATAAAAAGATATAGGTTTTCATTATTATGAAGTAATGAAATGAGGTTAATATTTCTATACCAGGCTATACATTTTGGTAAATTGTACTTTTCTAGTAAGAGTTGTTACTTGTAAAGTGGCAAGTTTTCTGCTGTAATTTGCGATACTAGTTTGTATCCTTTTGTCAGCTCCGTTGTTTTCTATAGTAAAGCATAATATATGGAGTTTATCTTCAAGTTGGAGCTTGGGGAAAAAATAGAAAATAAGGGAAAAGAACGTCCTGCTTTGTTAGAACTGTTGTGAAACTTTGCTGCAAAACTGTACTAACTGTGAGCACATTTGCGGATGTTTGTGGTTCACAATCTTTTTGATAAGTCAAGTGTTCACTTATGTCTCCCCATGAATCACGGTGATGCTTCTTCAGTCCAGTATTTTTGTGAAAGGTATAAAAGCTATGTTCACATTTACGATTTTTGTCTTTGAATTGAAAAGTATTTGATTGTCAGGTTAGTTAAGTTGAACACATTTGCTTCATGAGTCAGATTACATCAGGGTTTTTTTTGGGTTGAAGAGCGTATCTGTGAAGTGACTTTTTTTTTTCCTCTCTCTAGAAACTTCCAAAGAGGGTTCATGTCTTAAATTTATCCCAGGAATATTTTCAGGGATTATCTACCCCGTAGATAATTTTGTCATCTTTTGCAGAAACACACAGGGCACCATTCAGTTCTAATAGGAATGGAGAGGAAAAACAGAACCCCCCCGACAGGAACATAAGAGCTCTGACTGTCTGTGTGTGGTTCCCAGAGACATAGAGAGTTTTGAATTATTAAGCATTATTTCCAAATAATCTGAAAAACATCACTGATAGTGTTAAAAGAACATTTAATAGTTTTTAAGTAAAAATCTGGAAAATGGTCTATAGCCATTTATGGCTCTTCATATTTGCATAGTGAATACAATATTGAAGCAGCAGTGTTCATTAGTCTTCAAAACACATGCATCCACTTAGCCATGCATGGTTGTGTGGATTGGTCTTTTTCATTCATATGGTATTTCTAAAGCCATATTATTCCCCTTGTAGCTTGTCAAATAAAGGGCTGTAGATGATTTATGATGAGTTTTTGATGATTGCTTTCCTTACAAGACTTGGGGGTGATTTCTCAGCTATTCGTCAGGGCCTTTCAGATTAGAATACTAGTCTCATTATCAACAACAGCAAAAAGTTGCACTAACATACAAACACTTTTATGAGTCCAGAGCAGGAACCAGGTCCAGAATGATGTTAACACTTGCTCAGCTACAACTTTAAGAGCCAAATTTAAAAATAAATAAATAAAGGAAGACACAGTATGCCAGGACTATGTACTGCTCTCATTTTTAAAATTCTGTTCCTGTAGTCAGCAGAAAGAACTGAAAAGCCTAGTCACAGCCTTTACCATTCCCTGTAATATTTCCCCATAGCTGGGACTGAATGAATAGGAAATATGCCCTAAAGTTTTTGTGTACTGTGAAGCATAGACGTGTTATGAAACTGTGGCCAAACTGAATAGCTGGAATTTTTCTAATTGTGCTGCTTCAGGCTTTGCAACCTCTTCCACACTTTGCTGGCCACAATCCTAGCAGTGTCACGGCTGGGTAGTTGAAAGGTGCCTCATGGGTGAAACGGAAGAGCCCTGGTCAGTGGAGGACAGGCAGCCTTTGAGCTCTGCTCTCATTTTTCTTACTTGAAGACATAGTTACATCTCTGCTATGCAAGTGTTGAATTTGGATGTATATGTGCATATGCACATGTGATGGGGGAAACACTTGTTTGAATTCATTGCACCTCTGTCTGAAGGGAGGCTATTTTAAGTCCAGCTTCTATGTATCAGCCCTCTCCCTACCCCAAATAATATTTCTAATTTTTCTAAGACACCTTTTTTCTTCTGTTATTACAGATCCCCATTTTGATCCTATATCTGGTCATGTTCCTTTGCCACCTGCTCGTAGAGTGACTGGAGAAAATGTCAAAACTAATAGGACATCTCAAGATTATGACCAACTTCCTCCCTCTTCAGGTAAGGTAGAAACTGTTTTTTAAGAAAATTACAACTTTATGAAGCAAATAACTTTCATCCATAAATTCTAATGAAGTTTTTGTCATTCTGGGCAACAAATGGCAATGGTAACAAATGCTTTACAAAAATATGAAAGCATCAAAAGATAACAGAGATTGGAGTTCTGCAATGAAGGCAGAAGTGGCTACCTTTTGTCTGTAGATGTAGACATCATGGCATGAATTTCACTAGCTGTCAAAGTGAACGCTTATGTGATTTCTAGTGTTCGTTATTTTTTGAGAAAGGCAGAGATTTTTCTGCCACCTTTAAAGCTCACAAGAGGTCAGAAGTCCTGAAGAACAACACTCATCTCATCTTTGTTTCATTGTTCCTAAAAAACCAAAAGTAGCTTTACTCTCTAAATTATTATTATTTTCTCGTCTTCTTTTACTAATACGTTTGTCTGCAGTTTCATGAAAATTTAAAAACGTTTTTTAATAAAAGAACAAGAACCAGAACTTATTAAAATTCAGTCTTCAATTTGCAACAGAACAGGTACAGTTCCAGAAGCAATTCCTCTGCCATAGAAGTTTTGCTTATGGTTAGGAAATCTACTCAAATTAATTAAAATAATGTGCATGGTATACGGGGAAGGGGAGGATTTTCCCACCTACATTGTTTTGCTATATGGAGAGACCACATAAAGAAAGAGCTAAGTGTTGCTTTGAGGTATTATTTATTCTCCAGATAAGAGGAAATTGTGGGTGAAAACTCTTTCCTGACGCATAAAGAAAGGAAGGGACGTGTTTCTCTAGTCTTTCTATTGTAATTGTTGTCAGTGTTTAATTGCAACAATCACAACTAAAAAAATGATATGTTTTTTAAAAGTAATTATATCTCTCCTTCTGAGGAATACATACTTCCACTCTGCTGGGGTATAGGAAAGAATGTATTTTTCCAACTTAAAGTATAGGGAAAATTAAGCCTGAAGAGTGCTACAGAAATTTTCATGAATAGTGCATTTGAGAATTAGTGTGATGCCTTTGGTAAATAGTACCATTTTGGGAGGATACCTCTATTAATAGAACAGTATTTATCTTTTTTTCCCCATTGTTAAGAAAAGAAAAAAAAAAAGGTTTATAATGCAGGATTTATGTGTGACTCTGTGACGGATCTATTTGTCTTACAATTTTAACCTCATTTATTTAGGGCATCTTAATTCTTTTATAATACAACTTAGGAAAATTATATAACTATCTTTTAAAGCTACCAAGTTTTCCTGTAGTTCTGTGATAGAACAATTTTTAATTTTCCTAAGTTACTGCAACATGCTTGCTATTTAAGATCTTGGAGCTTTCTGATGCTACTTAATAAATACTTTGCTGTCTGTATGTTTCCCACAGCCATCTTCCAAAACACCCACATGTCGACCTTTACTATAAATATAATTCTAAGTCGGCATGATGTACAGCAAGATATTCAATTTTGTTTTAATTAAATGAAAACTGTGATAGATCATGTCATACTCTTAATTAGAAAGTTGTTTCTACAGTGGCAGTAATTCCATAGAACAGAACTGATGAGCTTCAAGATGAACTTATTCACCTTCATCTGTGACTTAAAAACACAGTGTAGAGACTGTAACTGTATCCAGAGCTTTTGGGTTTGCATTTATTCTGAAGTTCACTCACAGAATTCTTCATTTCAGCTCTTTTGTATGGTGATTGTTTGAACTAACTGGAAAAGAAATGTAGTTCACGCTAAAATCTAATTATAATTTAGCCACTGGCTCCCTAGAGTGTCATGGGGAGTTCTTTAACTTCTGTGCTTCATTTGGACTGTTTTTAAGATTGCTGTCATGATGCTGAACTGAAGCGTTAACATGTAATGAGAAATTTATTCTAATTCAGCAAGGTATTCAATATTGAACACTTAAGAAATAGTTCTCAGCTATCCACCTGACTTTCCCAATGGCATGTTTATTTAAAATTGTTACATACAACTTCATAAGATTATTATAATAGAAGCAAGCTAATAGCATGTTTCACCTAAGCACAGACAATGTTACATGGGAAAGGTAGAAGAAAATCAGGCCCCTAATATGGACGTCTGCTGTGTTTTACCAAATTTAGCTATTCTGTACAAAATGGCTTCAAATGGCTAGTGAAGTATATTTTTCTGCTGCTTGGTCACTCACCTGGCCTTATTAAAGCACTTAGATGTAAATTTAAATTTCTTTACACAGAAATATTAGAGGGGTGGTGTCTCATATTATTTCAGGGTGCATTTCAATTAACCCTAGAGGGAATAATGTGCCACAGTAATGCAAAATATGAAGATCATACCTAATAGCTTAATGAACCAATATGTGCAGTTACTCCTTTCTCCCTTTCTCCCTGCTCTCGGTGCCCTAGCACAGGTGCCCCCCGGTATGCTTTGTTCCTGTACCCCCGTTAGATTCGGTGTAGCTGCTTGCCACTGGTCCACAGAGGGCCTTGCACAACAAGCCTTTCTCACCTGTTCATCAGGTGCTTCTCAGTCTGTGCATGAAAGACTGTGGAGCCTACAGGAGAAGCAGCAAGGGAGGAAAAGAAGAGGGACCTGTTGCAGCCGAGGGGAGTAGGCAGTTGGCATTGTTACAGATATCTTCTTCCCACCGAGCCACACAGCTCCCACAACTTTTTCTGCCCTTTTTAAGCACTTATTAAGTGAGGGTGTGTCTGCCTTTATACTAACCTGTTACCTAAGGGTTAAATGGACTGCTGAATTACAGAAATCAGAGTGATAGAGGAAACTCCCTGCTGTAGAAACTATTAATTAAATTCACAATTAGAAAATCTATTTGACTTTTTAGTCAGGCATAAGGTAGCTGAAACATCAGAGAGGATGGGAGGTTGGGGAAGAAAGTCCTGCTTAAATACCTCTATCTCAGTGTCCAGATGGACATGCAGCTTAGGCTTAGTATCTTTAAGCTCAGGATCCAATGTGATACCCAGCTTCAGCTAAAATTTTATATGGATGTGAAGATATTGAAAGAGATGTCAGAGCTTATAAAAATAATAATGAGAATTGAGTTAGAGAGGGAGCTGAAGATATGAAAGTATCTATCTGTGCTGTAGAAAGATGTCACTTCAGTGAGAATAAAATGCCTATGTTGCAAATCTGCTGACAGAATTAAGCATGACCTTTCTAAATGATGAGATTGCTTAATAAAGTTTGTTTGGAAGCTTCAGAAAAGTGACAATTTTATACAAGAAATTACTTCAGCTGTAAGCCTATATTAGACCAGGTAGAGCAAAAAATATCTCATGTAACACACATATAGAAGGATCTGATCTATGCATAAGGAATTATCCTCTAGAAATGAAGTCCATAACAAACTGTGTGTATTCAAACTGTTTTAAATGTTTGAAAAGAGAACTGATTGGGTTTTAACACAATATACCATTATTTTAAATATAAAGAATACTCTTCTGCTACAGTTTTGAGCTTTCTAAAATAAGTGAAATGAGGAATTTGAACTTGTTTCTGATTTGGTTTTTAGTGATTAACCACATTTCCTAAGATGTAGTTAATCTCAAACCAGTGTGTTTCATGGATCTTCCACACCTTCATAGTGGGTTTGGATCTGCTTCGGATGTGTTTACTAGAATATTTAGGTTTTTTGTAATTCTTTTTATCTCTCGAGAAGAAATCTGAAAAAAACCATGAAATAGCCCTTACTATCTGTAGGTTGTGTCAGAACTGTTTGCAAGGAAAATTGGCAAATGAAATAAGAGAAATTAATCTTAACCCCTTACTGTAAATTTTTAATAAAATTACTCTCATCTATTTGTTATATAGATATCACTAGCTTGCTAGAAGCATTATTTGCTTATCTCCTCTGAATTAAGAAATGGAATTAAAATTAATGGAACACTCGTCTGAATGCATGGAAACTTGAGAGAAAAATACACCTTGGTTAGACATGCACTAATGTGAAGTATTTTCATTCATCTGACATGTTTAGTGCACTCAGGTGAATAACAATTCTCGCCATCCAGCATTATGAGCTAGCATGTTGTAATAGCAGTACTAAAAATACAACATTCTTTTATTACTAAAAAAACCTGTCTCTGAAGTACTTACTGCTACAAAATGCTATTGATGTCAGTGTAAGTAAACAGGAAGTATCACAGCCAGAAACTCCTCTAATTTAGCTATTAAATTCACTGCTGATGGAACTTTTTAGAACATTTTTTGAAGGATTAAAGGCTTTTTTTTTTTTTTAAATACTTTGCTCTTGAAAGTGTTTTGTGCTCTATGCCTGCTTGTATTTAAGCTTCTTATTGTGGAATCAGTGAGGATAAAGAGGTCTCAGTAAAGTACCGTTTACTTGAGCACAAAACTCTTGACTCTGAGAAGATTAGCAAGTTTGAATATTAACTTTTTTCATCAGCACATTGTGATTTTCAGCAGCAACATTAACTGTGAAGGTAACCTTTGCTTAGAAGAGAAGGAAAGGGGAGATACTTCAAAAGGGGGAGTGGAGGGGACTGATCATGTTGTGTTCTCACTACATAAAATTTTTCACTACATGAAAAACTGTTTTTTCAAGAAAACAGTTATTTTTATACTTATGTGTAGCTGCTATGCATGAAATGAACTGCAGTTGACTGAAACAGAATCTGCAAGACGTATCAATATATGAAAAATATTCCTCAGTCAGGCACATTTGGTTGGATTCATCCATCTTCTGCACAACTTAAGGTCATGAATAAAACTGTGATCAAATTTATTTGTGGCTAAGACTAAGGAAAAGTTCTCAAACTGGGTTGAGAGTGGAGAGCTTTTAAAATTGTGACTATTTTCAGCATCTTTGCTGTTTAATACTTTCTTTTTCTTCCGGCTTTGGATAATTTAGATAATTTAGTGAAATACTGTTTTAATAATATGATAGGAACATGCAAGTTATTATTTCCATTTTGGATGTTCCTGAGGAATTCAGCTTCTCTCTGAATTTTAAAATGAGGTATATAAGTAAAATACCTCTTCATGTTTCTTTAGAATTTACTCTTTAAACTGCTTCATGAGCCTTGACCTGTCTATAACATAAGATTAAGCCAATTTATAATGATTTCTATCTTGTTTATTTGAAACAGATGGTTCACAAGCACCAGCCAGACCCCCTAAACCACTTCCTCGGAGGACTGCACCAGAAATACACCACAGGAAAGCGTACAACTCTGACAGTTCCACAGAAAACGTGGATGCAAAAATTGCAAAACTTATGGGAGAGGGCTATTCCTTTGAAGAAGTCAAGAGGGCACTTGAAATTGCCCAGAATAATGTTGACGTGGCCCGTAGTATTTTAAGAGAATTTGTCTGTTTTCCTCCACCGGTCTCCCCACGTCTCAATCTATAGCAGCATCAAGATTTTCTTGAAGCATGTGAATTCTACATATACACGTGTGGATTGGGGAATGAGAGAAAGAAGAGAATGGAATATTTTTCTTTCATCCTTAGTAGAAGGGTGTTTGTTTCCAGCCGTTTATCAAAGGCTCATGGCTGCTCTGATCAAGACTTATAAATATGCTGAGGCTTATGTATTTTTGCTAGCCATACTTTTTTAAATCAGGGTTGAACTGACAAAATAATTTAAAGAAGTTTACTTCCCTAGAACTTTTAATCTGTGAAATGCTTTTTCTTGTTTACAAGTTGGCAAGTTACAGTTTTCTAGTTGACGCCTGTACTATGTTCCTGTTCATATTCCCTTGTGTTTGTGGTCAGTTCTGCTGTAGCATCCTCAACAGTTTCCATGCTGACCACCCCGTCAACTAAATCATCACTTTCCAGAAGTTCTGTGTTTGTTCTGTTTTTCTCTTACAAGATGCTTTAATTGTTTTTTGCATTTCAGCTCATCAAATGCAAAATGTGGCCTTCACTACTGATTTTTTTTTTTTCTTCTGAGATTCCTTTGCTTTTGAGAGAGGAAATGTCTGAATGTAAAATGTATTTTTCTGTCTATGAACTGCCTTTTTAAAGGTATTTTGACAGTAATGTCAGGCAGCTTTCTGTGTAACATGAATTCCATGACCCTGTAGTCCTCAAGGTCTTTTATATACAGTTTCCAGAAAAAAATGCCAGCCAACAAATAAAATACTTCATGCAGCATTGATCCCGAGTTCTAATATATAAAAGGTCCATCAAATTTGAGTATTTGATTTCAAGTGTTGAAAAAAAAATCCAAATGCACATAATAATACAGTACTGCGTTTTTATTACACACTAATGGCACCAGTTCTCAGAGTAAGCGGGGGCGTGCCAGGCTAGAAGGAATCATTTTGAATCATGTTAATGGTATGCAGGTAAATTCCACTTCTAGCTTCTGTAAAGTCAAATGCAGATAACTTTTTGTTTGAGTGATTATCCTGTGGTTCATAGTGGCTTGGGTCAGTTTGTATTAACATGGAAACTTTAAATCTTTTATGCACTGTTAATTCCTAATTCTACTGTAGCAATATTTTTTGCAAAGGTCTTTATTTAGTAACTTACTCCTCTGTAGACTTTATTGTTCTCAAGTATGTGTTTAACACCTAAATTCCTTCACTGACTTTGCAGATGCTTAGTTAGAAATACATTTTTGCTTTACATGGTTAGTGATACTCCAAAATTTACGTTTTATTTTAGAGCCCAGTTTGATTTGAGCCAAATTAAAAATCTTCCCAGTTGTAGAAAAGAGAGGGAGAAGACAACTCTGTTCTTAGTACACTCAAAGTTAAGTGTTCACATATTTCCAGAATAATTCTTAAGATTGCTGCATTCCTGGATTTTTTGGAAACTTTGAAATATTCCTTTCTTTTATTTCAAAAGTACTGTGTGAACATTACAATATTTTTCACATTTTAAGGTGTGACAAGTATATGAGAATCTTCAATGTCCTAGCTGAGTGTAAGTTATATATTTATTGTTCCCTTTCAGCTGTTGGTGTTCTCCTTCACTCAGAGCAAGTGGTAGAAGTTACATACTGACAGGATCAGATCTCAGCAGCCAATGCATTTTTTAAAAGATTTTTTTAAAGACAGCAAGTGGCTGAATTGTGGGATCAAAATAACTGGGACGCCCAGTGGAAATACTGTGATATCACAAAGTCCATTGTTTCATCAAATAATTTATTCTTAAAACTAAATAAATTATTTTGTAGCATCACAAAGCATAATATGGATATCCTTATTCTCCTTCAGTGATAAAAAATGATCGAGAGAATTCAGGGTATAGGGAAGAGCTTCTGTTTCATTTTGATTTTAAGCAAATGTTTCTGAATTTATGTTCTAGAAAAGGACATTTGCAACTTCCTGTAAATGTTCATTCCTTGAGTACAGCTTATGATAAGTTTTGAATGAAGTTATATTCTGTGCTTTTTAATTCAAGTAAATCTCTTTTTTTTGGGAGAAAGTTTTGTGTAGTCTTGAAGGCTCTGGTTCATTTTGTTTGTTTACAACATCACTTTAGCATTTTAGCTAACTATATATTCAGAATGATTCATGCTATTAAATTAAGCACTCTGGTTGTACTGGAATTGCTTAAATGAGGTTCTAGCATAACTGCCAGCATAGCAATGATGACAGTTAAAAAAATAACTCCTTACAATGATGAGCAAACAATCTGCAGATTGAGTTTGAATTTTGAATTCTAATGGAGAAGTCATTTTCTTTTCTTTTTTTTTTTTTTTTTTTTTTTTTTGTGCAGCAGCTTAGTATAAATTACAGCCTTATATTTCAGTTAGAGGCTGGAAGTGCTGCCTGATAGATGAAGGTTTTTAAATTTTTCTTTCTCCTTTTTTGTTGTGACCACCAGTGACATTTTTTTTTTTTTTTGGTGTATTTTAGAAAAAGCTTGATGTACAATATTCTGAGTGGTAATTTGAAAAGAGTTCCATTAATCTTCAAATGAGTGTGCTAATAACACTTCTAAATAGTGGAACATGAAAACTATTTCAAACCTGTTTTGGTTAATAGTTTTAAAGTCAAAGAGAGTGAAATTGCTTTGCTAAAGTGTTGATGTTTACTCTGCAGGAATTCATAGGCTTAAAATGAATTAATCTGGCTACAGTCTAGTTCTCTAAATGTATTTTAACCTTTGAAAGACTTGAGTTTGAGCCTGGCAGTGTGTTATGCACATATATAGCTTTAAGGAAGACTGACTGCAGTGAAACTGCTTGAATGAACAAAGTTAGTTAAACTCAGAAACATGTGCCATCATATTTCTTCCAATTAAATATCACTGCAGGCTTTAGACCATCATTCTGATGGCATCAGTCTGTTGGCCTTACCTGTTATGTCCTTTAAGCTAAACTGCTGCATTTTAAGCAAATTGGCTGAATCAGAAGTTGAGCAAAGTAAGTGGACATCATCAGCATGGATCTTTTCCAAAGACTACGAGTAGAAATAATATCGAAATTGTGATAAATTAATTTAATATGATTAGCCATGTTAATGGCTTGGCTGGAACCCTAAAATGGCCCACTGGTAAAATCTATTAATGTTCAGTATCTCAAGAGCATCTGGCACAGTTTTTATCATAATGTGAATTTAGGAAGTTTTGTACCAGGATCATTTCTTCTGTTATATTTCCCTCATTTTCAGCTTGAAGCTTTACTTTGCACTGATGACTCTGACCTGAAAGCATTTAAATTTGTATCTTAAAGCTTGACAAATTTTGAAGCAAATGAACACCGTATTCTCAACAAATTGAGGTACTGCCTGTTGACCTGGAATTTAGTGCTTTTAGGAATAACTTCTTGAAAAAGGACTTTGGTAGTTTCCATTTAGAAGAATTTTCTTTTAAATACCTATTTTATCTGAAAATGCCTTTTATAAACTTGTCTAACACGGCAAACTTAGTGATGTGTTCAATTAATTTATATTTTATTCAACATTCTTTTTAAATTTTGGTATTATGTAAGCTCAAGTTCTTTCTGTTTATGTAAGGTATTTTATAAAATTCATGTCAACAGAATATTGGGTTGGTCTGTGATTTTTCAAGACTCTTTCTCTGTTATTGAACATTATCACTTGTCCTACTGCTGCTTTAGAAATGTAGCCTGTCCTATGCAGGGTCTTAGAAAACATTGTTTTGTAAGCCACAAAAATTAAGCCTTGCTCTAAAATAATGTGAATTATTGCATTGAAACATTGGCTTTATATCACCTACATTACTTCATTTTTAAATTTCACTAGTAAAAATTTATAAATCAGCATTTTGGAATGAGCATGTAACAGCTGTATGGCAGAAAGATGATAATTATTAAATATTTAGAATCCAAAGTGGTGAACACATAGTCCGAATGTACATTAATTTACAGGATTTATTCCCTGAAAAAAATACGATAAGCTCACACTGATATTTCTTTAACATGCTATGCATTTACATTCTCAAGCATTGAACTCTTAATATAAAAAATATTTAGGAGTATGAAACTTTTTCTTCTGTTACTGTATTCCAGCATTCTGAAAAAAAGTTTATAAAATCTCATGCCTCTACTATGCATGACAATACAACTATTACTATTCAAAGCCCAACACCATTCCCTGCAGGTTGTATTAGACATTCAATGATGAGATTTTCATGGTACTTACTGCAGTCTGTTAAATCCTTGTCCATTATATAGGTCACTAGCCATATTACTAAGTAGGGAAGTTAACTGTTTGATATACTTGTCGATAGTATTATAGCTGCCTATTTCTTTGATTTTTACTCTTCCAGTGTGAAAATTAACTGTCACTTTATAGTTTTATAATCAAATCTTAGCATCTCGGTGCTCTAGGAATGTTTCAAGACTTTTCATTTGACTAGACCCAGTCATTAACTCTGTACAAGATACCTGCATCCATTTATCAGTTGCCATGAGGCTCGGTCAAGAAAATTATGCATTTAGATTTTAAAACACTGTGTGTTACCTTGGTATCTGAACGTTCCATTTGTCTTTTAATGATTTCATGTCTAACATGGAAAATTCTTATTCAAAATAAATTCTAAATCCCAAATCACTTAATCTTAACTCACAAAATAAATCTCAAATTTGTGAAACTTAATCCCATAACCTTCTTGAACATTGTAAGGAAATTAAAGGCCTCGGAATAGTATGAACCATGGCAAGAATCTTCCTTCCTAGACATGCCAAAGACAAAAGCACAAACCCATTGAGTGCTGTTCTTCTGACTGTGAAGCTGCCTGCATCTGTCTTGATCTGGGAAGGAATCAGACAGTCTAACTGCCTTTTTTTGTAATTGCAATAATTACCACCGTAGATGACAAAATGGGAGAGTAGCAGAGAACTACACAGAAGATGATAATTATCGCCTAACAATCCAAGCCTCTCTCTACTGTTGGTGTACAAGATTTAGCTGTTTTGAACTGCCTGTCTAGTGCAGATGGAATATTTCTTAAGATTGTTCCAGTCTTCAATTACTGTGTCCTTCTCCAAGATGTGCTTTAAAGGACATGCACTTTTGGAACAGATGCCAGAATCTTAGCAGCAGAGGGAAGTATGAAGTAGCACTCTGCTCGCAATATTTTTGGTGCTAGCAAAGCAACCAAAAACTTAATGAGGATTTAAGTAGAAACATGCCTGCTTTAAAGCTCATAATCTTGGTTTTTGAAGGGTGTGTATATGTACATGCTATTCTGGTGAGGCATGGAGAAGAGAGTGTTCCAACTGATGGCAGCCTGTGGAGTTCAGAACTAGGCTGTGGTACTCGCCTCTGCAAAAATACCTGCTCCTTTTCTGTAGCTGAACTGAATCTGCAGAATAATCAAGCCACTGTAGTTGTCCATGTGTCAAATTTTTCTTCCTAGA